ATCTCATCTCAGCTTATGCCTTTTTCGTATGCTTCTCTTGTACTGTAGTTAGGAATTTGCATCCTCAATCAGAAGCTTTGTTTGCCTTCCATGCTTAGATAAGATCCTCTTTGTAGCCATGGTACCAAGTATTATGTGAGATCCCATGTCGGTTGGAGAAGAGAATGAAACATTCTTTATAAGGGTGTGGAAACCTCTCCTTAGCAGACACATTTTAAAACCTTGAGAGGAAGTTCAAAAGGAAAAGTCAAAAAATGACAATATCTGCTAGCGGTGGGCTTGGGTTTGGGCTGTTATATATTATATGAAAATCTCCATCCGATAGTTGAAGGAGGACATGTAATAATTTGAAAGGACTAACCACCCCAATTATTTTGTGATACCATCTATTACTCTTTTAAGTTGCTATATTCGAACTTACTGTTTCAGCAATCAAGTTTAATTGTTTAGTTTTGATCCTTCAAATGGATTTAATACCTTGCAGTGCTATATGAACTTCCCATTGATTCTGACTAGAGCATATGCCCATGTTGATAAACCAGTATTGGATTAATCGTCAGTAGTTTATGGTTGAATACAAAAATATATTGAAGATTCTGACTGGAGCTTGTTCTCACTACTTCATGCCGATTCACATCTACCCTTGTTGTTTTAATTTCAATTTAATTATTACTTGCAGCCTGTGACCAACGCATATAAATGTATTCTTGATCGTTGATATGTTTATGTTACTAAAACTTTTGTTTCTCCTTGTTCATATGCAGAGGATGCATGGAAGATGTTGCTTGATGCTGCTGGAGCTATTGTTCCTGACAGAGATCTAGAAGTCTTGAACTCTCTGACCAAATTTGTTGATCAGTTACCCTCAGTGGTAAAGCAGGTAATTTTGCAATTCACTAAGAGTTCCATTTCCTAATGATGAAAAAGAAGCCGGATTTTAGAAAATGAGATGATTATGAAATGGGGGTTTAGAAATTGAGTGAGCTGTATTTGATTGCATAAACTATGCTCTATTTCATTAGATGACAGAAGGGGTATCAGAGTTCAAACCAACTCCATCTGAGAATCGAGATTGCTTCAAGTGCTCTTACAATGTCCAACACACCCTCCTGGTATGGTAGCTCTCAAATTTGGATTGTTGAGTAAATATATGCTTCTTGTTTGTCTGATACGTTCTTTCGTTTCAGGTGAAGTTCAGTTCAGACATGATTGACGAGACAGATCTACTCGAAGAAACTCTGAAACCACGCATCGAATCTATTAACGGCACGATCGAGAAGATCCAGTTAACCGGTAACCACCTCACACCATGCATACAGGTACACTTTCATTACTCATTCTTTGGTTATTGTTTTGAAGTTTTTGGCATTGTAACTTCTTTGATAGCTGCCAGCAATCAGATTATGCAATTCAAAACCACAAGCCAGCTAAATAAGCACTTAAGTTCTCTAAATATTTCACTAAGAACACTTCTGTGAAGCCCTTGCTAATCAACCTCATATATCCCACTCAACCTTTTAAATTGATGCATCATACTTTGGATCTCGTTTATGTCATAATATATTAATCTTTCTCCTCATTTCATATTATTTATCTACGGATGGACTTGTGAATCAAAGTAAGATTTGTTTGCAATGATTTTTCGAATGCTTATGAAAGTCATTCCAAATCGGGCTTAGTTAGTAACATGTTATTAAAGATATTATGAACCACAGACTTTTCACAATGGTATGATTATTGTCCATTTTGAGCATAAACTCTCGTGGTTTTGCTTTTGGGTTCCCCAAAAGGCCTCATACCAATGGGAGATGTATTCCTTGCTTATAAACCTATAATCAACCCCTTAATTATCCGATGTGAGACTCCTCTCCTAACAAAAGAACGTTGTAAAGATTAAAGTATTATACACAAAACCAATGGTTTATACTTGTAGTAGGAGGGGGGAAGTAAACAAAACCAAAAGAAAGATCTGCAACTTAAAAAGGAATTTAGTTGAAGTTTTTTGTTGTAGATTTGTAAGGATTTCTGAAGATGTGGTTGTTTTATTGTGATCAGGAGCCAAAGTGGGAGGTAGGTAAGTTGTACACTCCTGCAGATGCGGTTGCGCAGGCTCTTAAATCTGTATCCTTGAATGAAACAAAAGAGGTTGCTAAAACCTTAACCAACTGGTTTCACCGTTTTGATGAAGCCTAATTCTATAACTCATATTTATATTCCTCATATGAATGTGAATGTTTCTGTAAACATTTTGCCCCTATGAATGAATTTAATTTTTGTTAGTTTAAGACAAATAGATCTGAGCAATTAGAGAGCTCCCATTACAGTGCTACAAATCCAGTGGAGGCCCCATATTCTGAGTTAGAAGTTTGAATTCTATTTAATTTTCAATATTCATTTATATCATCCAACTCATTTCACGGTTTAGGTGTGAGATTACACATCGGTTAGAGAGGTAACAAAATATTACTATAAGAGTGGTAAACCTCTCTCTATACTCTAAGTGTGTGTAAACCTCTCTCTAATATCCTTGTTTTAAAACTGTGAGATCATGGTGATACATAACAGGTTAAAGTAGATAATATCCATGATGGGCTAAAGGAAATATCCGTTAGTGGTTGGACTTGGGTTTGGACTGCAACTCTAACCAAATGTTTAATTAAATAAAATGAGATAAAATAATTAACCCTCTCTATATATAGACCAAAACTTCTATTTATATTTCATTACTGTAATGTAATATTTATTTGGGGTTAAATTATAAATTTTGTCTTTAAATTTTTTGTTATTAAAAAATTATGTAGTAATTGGGGGAGAAATAACGTAGAGGTTTAGTCGTGTCTTGAGAAACAAAGCGAGCGTAACTGTTTTCATTTGTTCTATAAAAGGGAAAAAAAAAAAAAAATAGAGCGAATGGAAGCGAGGGCAAGAGGGCGAGAGGGCGAGAGGGCGAGAGGGCGGTGAAGAATATGGGAGAGCGGTGGGGGAGATGAGTATGAGATGATCCAATCATTTGTTTCCTTTTTTTCTCTCTCATGAATTATTAATGGATTGATGATTCTGCTATTCTTTTCCATTCCTGTGTGGTTCTGTTCTCTCAGTTCGATATTTCTTCCAGTTGCATTGCACCTCTGACTGTGCCGATGCGGCGCCCATGGATTTTTGGAAAATGTGGCTGCTCTCTCTCTCTCTGCCTCTTGCCTTTACCTCCATCTGAAGAGCCTTCTGATCGCCCTATGACCATGACGTCGTCCATTGCGGCAAAATCTGGTTCAGATACAAGGCACGTTTCCTTTTCCTTACATCATCCTAATTCTCTCTCTCTTTTTCTTTCCATGCCTTTTCTTTTCGATTGACTCTTCTGATAAATGTAGGACTAACATTACTTATACCTGTTGATCTTTTATTTGGCCCTAAATTTCGTGTTGAAATTTATGCGCATCGTCGTTTTTAGTTCTATTTTTATTCTGAATTGTGCACGGTTTCAGTTCAAGTCGGTTTAGGGCTTTATTTATTTATTTATGTATAAATAAATAAAATATTCATAAAGAACTTTCAAAAGCCTCAAACGCTCAAAATTAAAGAATATTTTTAAACTTCAAAACTCAAGGAAAAAAGAAAAGTTATATAAAATATTCTCAATATTAATTTTGGACAAACTGTTTTCATTTCAAAATATTACTGAACTTTGAACCATATTAAAAAATATGTTTAAATTTTAAATTCTTTATTGATATTTTTTTAGTTTTAATTTTAAGTTAAAAAGTACTATAACCATTAATTTATTAATTAATTTTTAATACCAGATTAAAAAAATATCCATTAGTTTTGGAAATTATATCAGTAAGAGAGTAATAGAGACTTTTTTTTTTTTTCTTTTTGAAAAAGTTAATCATAAATTTAGATTTAAAATTAGATTCAAATCTTACCAATTTTTACTCTCATGGAATAATGGTTTTAACGAAGAACAGCTATTTGGTAAGATGGTTCCTCTTGGAATTTAATGAGTTTATGTGCTGATGTTAGTGAGTCAAAACATATTGGTCTTTCTTTCGTAGGTAAGTTTGATTATTTTTTTTCTATGAAAGTTTCACTTGTTGCAGTCAAATGATTTGACTGTCACCTAGCCCATGGATAATTGATGAACAATATGGACTTATGTGCTACGAGTCCCGAAGAATAATTCTTCTTTTTTTACTTTTTATTAGAAAAAATAAATTATGTTCCGTAACTATTTCTATTCCAATAGAAATAGAAACAGAAATAATATTTTTATTTATGTTTTTTTAAATAATTAGAAATAGATTTTGTTATTTAAAACAATTACCTGTTAGATAGAAAATGAGAAACTGAGATTTAAGCTTAGTTTTAAGTATATACTTTTGATTTTGATTATGAAATTAGAGTTTGAATGAGTTAAGAAATAATATTTTGTATCTTTTTATTTTGTTGGTGAGTAGGTCCACCATCATCAAGATCCATACTCCTTTTTTTTGGAAGTGTAAAAAAATCCCAAAGTTATAAGAAAAACGAGACTACAATCACTACTAGCTCAATAATAAAATACCTTCTTCTCTGACTTGACTTTCCTAGCTACCCGACTTCCCTTCAAAACCCAAAACCTTAAATGAGTTCGATAAACTAAAAAGAGATGAATGAAAATTGAGAAATAGAAAACAGAGAATAGTAAGCAATAAAGTTATTAAACGACTCCCCCATTATTTCCAAACCTGAAAATTTCTAAAACCAGTGACGATGAAAGCACGGTAAAAAGAAGAAACAAAGAAAGATGTAGTTTGCCGAATAAGTAAAAGTAAAAAAGAGGTCGAAGGCATAGGGTACCCTACTTGTATGGCCGCCTTATAGGACTTGTTTTGGAACAACTCGCGGCGTAGGGTAATCGTGGCAGACAGAATTTAAAACCCACCATTCTCCCAACTGATCTTCAATCCTCATCTCTACACCCTTTTTTTATCAGAGAAGAAAAGCAATATATGAACACTAAAGAGAAACCTCTAAATCTAAAACCAAACCCCCAATGAACTCTACAGACCAACTCTGCAACTTTGAAGCTACTAAAATCCCACAGCCACAGCCACAGCCACAGCCACAGCCACATGGAGAACGTAAGAAACAGGTTAGAAGGAGACGCGAAACCCGAAGGCTTTACAAGCAAATGCCTCTGAATATGGCTGAAGCTAGAAGAGAGATTGTAACTGCACTCAAGCTTCACAGAGCATCAACAAAAGAAGCTAAAGAACAGCAACAAAAACAGGACCAACAGATTAAACATTCACTTCCCGTGTACCCTCATCAATTCACCCCTTGTTTTGAACCTGAAAGAAGAATGAAATCCAGGAGAAATCCCAGGATATACCCTGATTGCTCATTTTATTTCCAAAATGGGTCTGATTTTATTGCTCCTCCACCTGTTGCACAGAGTCTCCATTTAGATATCCCTATACAAACCTTAGGTCTGAATCCCAATTTTGAGGATACTAGTTCAGTTGTTTGCAACAACAACAACAACCATTCATTTTATTCACTTTCATTCTTGCACCCGTCTTCATATATTTGTCCCACTTTTGATTATGCTGCCACTACTCATCGGGAAGTTCCCAAATCAATTTCATTATCAGAGGAAGAAGGGAGGTTGATGGCTTCTGATTTGTTTTGGTCCAATAATTTCCCAACTGGAGAGAGTGAAAAGGAGATTCATGGGGCAGTGGAGGAGGAGGAGGAAGAGGAGGAGGCTATGGTGGCTGAGATCAGGTCTATGGATGAGAAGCCTTTGGAGATTGATGGTCAGACTCACTGTACTTTTGAGAATGTTCCAACTGGACAGAGTGAAGAAGCCATGGAATTTCCAGATTGGTTGAGTATCAATGATGATTTTTTGCAGCCGCGTTCGAATTATCAGTTCTCAAATGAGGATTACCTTCAAGATCCTGACCTATCTTGGTACGAATTTAGCTTCCCTTAATCCAAAACAAATTCAAATTTCAAACCCCAATGGAAAAAATATATATTTAGGAGGTCGATTTATGTCTTAACGGTTCTAGTGTGTCCTTTATTTCTTCCCCCCTTTTTTGGGTGTTTGCATTTTGGATTAATTTACTCATTTTTTTTTTCCATTTCAATACATATTTGCATTTTGCAGCATGGACATTGGGGAGATTGAAGATGTGGATGGAGATTGGTTAGCATGATTGTTGGGTTTTTATCTCATACCATGCTCTTTAATAATACGAGAAAACGAATGAGTATCTTTTTTCCCCAACCGTGATTCCCTCCCCCTACGTACTTTGATCAATATTTTTGCTATAAACTTCTAGTAATTCATCGCATGGTTTCCGATCCAATTCAACCTCTCTCTATATATATAGAATATAGATGGCCAATAAAGTCAACAAACAGAGTAAGAAGTTATTAGATGGTTGGAACACTATAATTATGCAACCAATTATTAGAGAGAAACAAGCAGTCTAGAGGCTACAATAAATAATTGGAAAAAAAAAAAAAAAAACTACAATGAATGATATTTGTTAACTAAAGACAAGTAGTTTCTGATTGATGGTAGTAACTTACCATTCGTACATTTTACAACTTACAAATAGAAATTAAGAATCCTTCTCCTTAAAAGCACCGAAATCTAGTATTACGCCATGTAACTCTTTCCTGAAAAGCATTTTCAAATTAGTGGAAGCATTTTCAAAGGGGCTAGAATTGAACCGGATATCTGTCGATGGAATCGAGCCACGGGGTCCTTGTGGGCTTGCGGTTGCGCCTCATAGAGCGCCACACCAAAGAGTTGCACTTGAAGCCAGACCCAAATGCCAACTGCCAAATACGATCCGCGGACTTGACCCTGTCTTTGGCCTCCAAATAAGCCAGTTGGTACCAAATACTGCTGCTGGAAGTGTTTCCGAATCGATGAAGTGTCATTCTAGAAGCCTCCATGTTGCTCTCGCTGAGCTCAAGGTTCCTCTGTAACTCATTCAGTACACCCTTGCTGGCTGCGTGCACACAGAAGTGCTCGAATGCTTGCTTGTAATCTGGAATGTATGGTTTCTTTGCGTTCAGTACTCCGCCGCCGGAGGAGGAAGAGGAAGAGGAGAAGAACTGCCTCCACACTAGAGTTGCGAAGAAGAGGAGCTGCTCGGAGAAGGGCAAAACGAGGGGTCCGAGGGTTGTGATGTTGGCTTTGAGAGCTTCGCCTCCGATCTCCATTAGGTCTTTGCTGACTTTTAGGCCTTTGAATCCTTGTTCGTCTTCTTCCTGGTATACACTCCTGCCACACACCAAGCACCATTCAACTTCCAAAACACTCAACGCATCAAATCTTTCACAACCTAAAATGGAACATTTTCTTCGATACTATATTTCACAAATGATCATAATGACGTACACCTTTCTTCTTCTTTTTTTTCTTTGTAGTTTAAAGTTTAAAATTAATATTTAAGAAAGACAATGACTTGGTTTTAGATACCAGTGGTTGCTCTCAACATTTCACAATTGTTTACTTTAGCATGGAAAAACAAAAAAACAACTAATTATGTAAACCTGAAAGACTGAAGACAGTTCAAAACTTAGATGTTCAAACATTTAGGTGAGCGAGTGACGGATAATAGTCTAACATCAAATGCACTTTCTAGGTTGGTTAAAAAAAAAATCTTATTTCAAAAATTCACATATAGTATCTACTATAGAAAAGTATATATATCTTTTTCCTAAAACAACTTTCTAATTTAGAGTGTACTTCGTATAATTTTTTTAAAAATGATACTAGATTATTAAAAATATTTCATGTTTGGGACCCTAAAATCTACAACATATAAATTCCCATGAATTGGCAACATTTCTTGTTGGCAGTTGAAAGACGTAATGGGCCACTAAAGACACAGCTACACATCATAATAAAAGCCCATCTGCAGTCAATACAACAACCACTATCTATACTGAAAAACGTGTTATTTTTTTTTTCTTTTCATATTTTTTTAATTGCATTTGAAACATTATGTCAAAAACTGCTTTAAGCATATCTTCAGAAAATATGATTTTAATATAGAAATTAAATATTAAATATATGTGCACATACATGCATATTAAAATTAAATTCTATATTTCCATCTTATCTATTTCTTGTAGAGGAAATATAACTTAGTGATAATTATAAATATTACTTATAAATTTGAATCCTGCCTCTTATGTAAGAAGGTAAGTACCTGAAGCTGCGATCATCAGCACCTTTGTGGGTTCGAACGATGTGTTCGAGGCGGTACTTGGCGCGGTAATAGTCACGGCGGCGGTTAGACAGGAGCACGGCGGAGCAGCCCATGCGAAAGAAGCAATTTGGAATAAGCATAGATCTATCACGGCCTTGGTACCAATTGTACCCCACAACCTCCGTACTAACGACGACGGCGTAATTATTAGGGTTAGACTGAAGCATATCGCGAGCCAAATCGATTGCAATAACTCCAGCGCTGCATCCCATTCCGCCGAGATTGTAACTCAAAATATTTCCCCTCATCTTGTAGTGGTTAATGATCATGGCGGAGAGTGATGGTGTCGGATTGAAGATCGAGCAGTTGACGACGAGAACTCCAATGTCCTTTGGACGAATCCGAGTCTTCTCGAAAAGCTCGTCGAGAGCACCGAACATGACGGCGGAGGCCTCCGTTCGGCCTTCTTTCATGGTGGCACAGTTACCGGCGGAGGCGATCACCGATTTCGGAACGTAGGTTTCATCACCTATTCCCGATGACTGTAAAATCCTCTTTTGAAACTCTAGGCTTCCTTCATCGAATTTGCCCGATTTTCGTGCTAGTTCGACGAATTCTTCCTTCGATACCTGCAGAAAGCAGACGACATCTTCAACACAACAATGAAAAAACTACTAATTATTACACACAATTATATTTTATTCTCATAATTTTAGTCTATATATTTTAATTTTTTTAATTTACAAGATTCTAAATAAAAATGTATTCTATCATCCTTTCGCTGAATTTCTACCATGCAGTTAAGATTTATTTAATTAATTAATGGCACTTTTTAAATTTATCCAAATGTTTTACCATAACATAATAAAATAAATTTAAATTTGAGCAGTATATTATTTTTTTAGTATCATAATTTTAATTGAAAAAGCAGTTAAATAACTCACATAAAGTGTAATATTTCCAAAATTCATCTTAATCTCGGTAGGAATTCCAAATAAAAAAAGTAAAACACATGCATAAATAATTAATTTCTGCTGTATGATGGAAGTCCACTTCACTAATTTTAGTGGAAATGATCATGGGTTTATGAATTTATGAGTGAAGAATACTAACTCCATTGATTTGAGTAAAGGCTTCTCCAAAAACAAAACCATGAGAGATTATACTTAAAGTGGACAATATAATACTATGGTAGAGGGTTGTGTTCATCTAACAATTTCAATATTTCATGCAAAAAAAAAAAAAAATTAGAGGCAAAATATTTTTTTAAAAAAAACCACTCTAGTTTTAGTTACCGACACAAGACAATTAACATTCTCTAAAAGAAGCTATCTATATATATTTTCCATCTAAAAACCCTAAAAAAATGCGAAAATATGTAAATAAAATCGAATGGTTATGCACCTGTCTATAAAAATCCTACCATTGCGTACTTCTAGTAGCTAAAAAGTTCGGGCAGGACAAAGAAATACACAAGATCATAAGATATTCATTTTGTTATGGAAAAAAATAAGTCGAGAAACAATGACTTAATAATTTTACCTTCAAACCAAACCAAACTAATATCAATCTAACACCTATTAATCAACGCTCGATTAGATGTAAACCGAAGAATAATGAGCACTCCAAAAGAAGGTTCAAATCTTCATCCAGATCAAACAATCAAAATCGAAATTAAAAATAGAGAAGAAAAATCAAAATCAAAATCGAACTAACCTTGAAGTCATCGGAAGGCCGAAAGCACGAAAAATCAATTAGATAGATAGATCTAGGGCGCGACATGAAGTAAACAGAGAGCGTGAAGACGAAGACGGCGAAGAACGAAAGAACAGTAGCGAGATCGTAGCGAGCATCTTCCCAAAGCTTCCGCCATAGTTCCTCACGGCTGAGGCTTCCGACTTCAGCGCTAAAGACGAGAACCAGCAGTGGCACAGTAGCGAGACAAATGGCGTGGTTGATCAAGTAGTGGTAACCTAACTTGACGTACTTGAGATTGACGGATTGTAGGAAGTCCGGAAGTCGGCGGCGGACTCTGACGGAAAAGGTGAGGGAGCCGGCATTGGGGCCGGAGGATTCAATGCCGCGATTGACGATCTCGGTGGAGAGAAGGTCTTGTTCGTTAGCCATGAGAAGAGCGTGAAAGATCGTGAGTGCGAGAGGGATAGTTGGATTTGGGAATTTGGAGAGAGAGAATATAAAGAAGGAGAGGGAAAGTTGGTGGGTGGGAATTAGTTATTGCAAACACCAACTCGGCTCCAATGCAGTTGGGGTTCTTTCAACTCCCATTAATTCTTCATTAATTCCCATCTTTTTATTATTATTATTACTTTTTCTCTTTTTATATTTACAATCTATAATTACCTTCATTAAATTATAAACAAAAAGAATTAAATTTAGATAAAGTTTCAAGTTAAAATTAAAATTAAAATTAATTTATTAATAGTAAAATTAAAAACGATATAATTTTAGGATAAATATTGATGTTTTGCTAATAATTAATGTTAATTAATGAAGTTTGTGATCTCTTTCATGATTATAATATTAGAGTGATAAATTAGTTTAAAATGTAGAACAATTATTTGCTTATTTAATGATTATTTTTTAAAATTTTTCGATTTAAAAAGGCTACATGTTTGATTTTCTTTTTTTTAAAAAAAAAAACAACTAATTTGAACCCAACCACATATCCACCCTACCCTCCACTTGCTGAAATAGTTAGTTGAGCAGTCCGCATTGACCAAGCAAGAGGGAGGTCTTCCGCCACGCCCTTTACACTTGACACGACACACACACACACATTCTAAGCAATCAATTTTGTCAACCAACAACAATCAACCAACACAAACACAAACACACCCAGTAAAGAGTTTTAGCCCATACCCAGTTCTATTCACAAGAATCATTTTGGGTAAAGTCACGATACCTTATGTTTAAAGTGAACAATATCATACTACAGTAGAAGATCATGATTTCTAACATAATAGTAAGGTCATGCCTTTAATTTAGCCATATCAATAAAATTCTTGAAAACTCCAGAAAAAGAGATTATTAAGAGTAGTAGTCTCACATTGGCTAATTAAGTGAAAAATCATGAATTTATAAGTAAGGAATTTAATCTACTCCATTGATATGAGGTATTTTGGAGAAATTTTAGCAAAGACATGAGAATTTAGGCTCATAATGGACAATATCGTATCATTATAAAGGACTTTATACTTTGGATAATATCATACAATTGTAAAAGGTCGTGAGATATTAGAGTCATACCCTTAATTCGTGGGTCAATAAACTTAGACTTGTACTTGATATTGCATGATATATAAACTTGTAGAGCAAAGTTTTACAAATATATCCTTTGTTTGAGTATGACTTTGTTCAATGGTCAAAATCTAACCGGACGAATATTAATTCAAAGAACAAAGTTGACCTAATAAGGCATTGTATAATCTTTGCAGAGGCTATTGCCTAGGAAAGGGGGAAAAGCACTTGAGAGAGATGGAACAAAATTAATTTCAAAATAAATAGGTTAAAAACTACTTTTTAATTGTGTTGAAAACAAAATTTGAATAAATGACTAAAACAATTACAACAAATTTGGACTTAAAAATGTCTAACCCAACTCGACTTAACTCACAAACACGATCATTCGGAACAATATTAGAAATTAAATAAAAAAAAATAAAAAATCCAAAAAACTTTTCCTGGTTTAGTGGTTTCTTATGTGAATCCAGTCTTTATAGCTTTATGATACACGTGTTTAAAAACTTAATTTTTCTTTCTTTGAAAATTTAGTTTTGTGGAAATTCTTTTAATCTATGTTTTTCAAAAGAGAAATGTGCTGAAAATTGAAAGGGTTAAACTGTTGGTTGTCCCAATTAAACTAGGGGACAGTTAAAATGGGACCGCCGCAAATGCAAATGGCTGCGCCCTTAGTCCTTACCCTTATCTTTATATTTGGACATCCATACTCAAAAATTAAGCACGAGATTTTCTCTTTCTTCTTCATCCATTAAAATATATATTTATTTTTTCCAATTAAATTATATGAGCTAGGTTCGATCACATCAAATCAAATAGATTATTCAAATCTCAGGAGTCAAGTGAACAAAATCTAAAAAAAATTATAGGCTTTCAAATATCTGAGGAACATATCTATAAAAAATGAAACTCTAATCTAATTTTATATATCATACTTTTTTATTAAAAAAATTGGATAATACAGCACAATAATATAACTATAGTTTAGCAATATTATTAATATTTCTCAATTATGCAATTCATTTTTAAGATGGACGGCCCAATAATTAACATTAAAGGGAAAAAAGAATCACTTTCAAATAATTTTTGAAAAAAGCTCAATATAATTTCTTAAAGTCAAAAAGAGGTCAATAACTATTTAGCCGCAAAATCTTCTTAATGAACATCTAGAAGCCCATGATTTCAAACTAATGTAACAAATCAATAATATGGTATAAGTTCATATAATTACAAATATTAAAATCAAACTCCATGATTTTAAAGACTATGAAAAATTTATTAAATTAAAAAAATAAATAAAATTTTAGGGACTAAATTTTAAAATTTCTAATATTATAGTATCAAATTTACAATTTTGATCTAAATTCAATTATTTATAACTTAAAGACTGGTCTAAAAGTGGTAGAAAAATTTAAATAATAAAATGGCCCCTTTCTTCCTTTTTCAGAACCGTCATGCCTTTCTTCTTTTTTAAAACCACTCAAAAGTCCATGACATAGACATCTAATTACGATAATGAAACTTTTTTAAAAAAATATTAAAATAAATAGAAATAAGTCATTTATATTCTTAATCTCCCCAAATTGTATCAATTAAAATTTTAAATTAACACAACTCCGAAATTTAGATTAGAAAAATATTGAAAAATTAGGACAAAAAAATTTGAAATGACTGTAACCAGAAATAATGTGCTTTAATATTAGTTTAGAAATGTTTATAAAATAAAAAAAAATAAAGTTAAAAGGATGGAAGAATTTATAATGATTATTTTAAAACTCACGTGGTGTTTTTAAGTTTTATCACGCGTTACCCAAAACCCCACTGAGCTTCTTCGTTGAGTTCCCTCTACCTTAGAGTTTACTCGTTTTGTCCATTTCCTATTTAACTCCAAAGCCCTATCCCCTCTTTCACTAACTTTGAATTTCTCATTCTAAGTTCCCGAGCCTCATTCCGAACCCAAACCTGCCTTACGCTCGGATCTGATAGACCGTTCATTAATGGCGGACCGTCGGAACTCAGGCAGTGAAACGAATGAAGAGTCGGGTGGTCAGATTTTGAAGTACAAAGGTGTACGAAAGAGGAAATGGGGCAAATGGGTCTCGGAAATTCGGCTGCCCAACAGCCGTGACCGTATTTGGTTGGGTTCTTACGACAAACAAGAGCAAGCGGCGCGTGCTTTCGACGCGGCACAATTCTGTCTGCGTGGTCCCCATGCGAAGTTTAATTTTTCAGATAGTCCGCCTGAAATTGACGGCGGCGACCGGCTTTCGGCTCAGGAGATTCAGGCAGCCGCAGCGAAGTTCGCTGTCGAGCACGGCGGAGAGGAACGAGTTAAAACGGGTAGTAGTAGTAGCAATGAGGAAGCTCTAACCGGTAAACACTCTTCAGGGGCGGTTGACAGCGGCGATGGAAGCAGCAGCGCTTGGGCGGCTTGGGACTTGTTGGACGGTGGTTCGGATTTTGGGTTCGGTAATATTATGTGTCGGAATGAAATGCTCTATGATAGCGACATTATGTTCCCGGGACAAGAAAATATGGAGGATAGGTTTGTTGATGGTGGAGAATATTTTTGTCACGAGGCTAATTTCCTATGGAACTTTGATAATCATTAAGCCTATAAGCTATAGTCTTTCAAAAGGGCCAAAAAAACAAAAAAGGGGAAACCCCATAAGCCATAGCTTGGTTGGGTCATTTGGTCAATTTTAGCAAACCTAGTTTTAATAATTTTTTAGATATTACACCCAAAATAAACTCGACCATATATCAATTGTCACAAAAAAAAGAAAAAAAAAAAAAAGTTGTAGGCTAAAAGTCTCATCCAATGTATACATAATAAAATTTATATTTTGATAGAATATAAGTAATTATATAGTAATTTGCTCTCTCTCTCTATATATATAATGCAATACGATGTATTAAAGTGTCACATCAATTGTGGCATATGATACTATAAATTTTAAATAAAAATGATAAAGAAATGAAAAAACGAGAACGAATTAACTAATATGTAAAGTAAAAGTATGGAAGTTCAAATTTCATCTTACAAAATAAAAAAAAAGGATTAAAAGTATAATTTCCTTTGTTTCTCTAAAAGTAAATATGACCCAACAAATTATGTTTAGGCTGAAATCATTTGCAAGCAATGTATAACTTTTATATATATATATATATATATAAAGACAAACTTGAAAAATAAAATAATAAAAATAACATTACTAGCAAAGGGTTTAAAATATTACTTTTGATATCCCAACCAAAATAAGGGTTTTGGCATGCTAACAAACTAGTCTCAATCTATATTTCTCTGCATGCAATAGTATGATATTGTCCATTTTGAAAATAAATTCTCATGAATTTGTCTTGTATTTCCTTACTTATAAACTCATAACGATTCCCTTTAGTGTGGGATTCTCTCCCAATAATTTGAAATATCGATTGAGTGGAAAGGAAAGCAAGATAGAGATACACGTGATGTGATGTAGTGTTGTAATAGGTGGGAAGCGTATGGCTCTTCAGCACTAGAGCCTAGTGAAACTTTTTCTCAATTTCCATTGTTCTTATATGTTTGATTTGTTTTGCAGGGCCCAGGAGAATTTCTGTAAGGATACGATTGAAATTTTGGTGGTGGTTATCTGATCAATGTGAAAGGGATAAAACAAAGCTGACTTCGATGGCCCAACCAACTAAGCAACGAGGGATTTCAAATGATCCAACGTTGGATGGCACCTTCTCTAAGGCAGAATGTCAACGCACCACAAGTCCTCGTACTTTCTCCTCACAAGAGAATACTCCATTTTCAGTAGGTGGGTATCGCTGTCCCATGACCAAGACCAATTGAGTGTGGCTGCTACCATGCAAAACGAGGAAATGGGATGCCAAACGGGCTTGTTTGAAATTCCAAAGCCTTTCTGAGCATTGTTTGGGAAAGTCAAGAGAGCTTATTGTTTGAGAAAGTCAAGAGAGCTTAAAGTGTGTTCGAGGATTCTCGGTAACCAGTGGTTCAATGGAATGTGTAGAGGCGAAGACTCTAGTAGAGGGAATCAGCTTAGGTATGGCTACAGGTCTTACTTCAGTGTGGCCAAAAGTGGATTCCAAAGTAGTGTGGACTCTTCTTATGGACCAAGATCAACATTTTATTGAGATTGCACATCTTATCAAGCACCTGAAACATCTCTCGCAAAACCATTGCATAAAGGGTTTTCTCCCAACTCCTAAGGACGACACTAAAGCAACTCATACTTCAGCTATTCATGCAAGACAAACTAAGAATTTAAAGGTTTGGTTAGAAGAATAGGGCACAGTCACATTATTTGTAACGGCTCAAGTCCATTGTTAACCGATATTGTCTTCTTTGGATTTTCTCACCCTTTATAATGAATGTTTCATTCTCCTCCCTAACCGATGTGAGATCTCACAATCCATCCCTCTTCAAGGCCCAGGGTCCTCACTGACACTCGTTCCTTTCTCCAATCAATGTGAGACCCTCCAATCTACACCCCTTAGGAGCTCAACGTCTTTGTTGGTACACCACCTCGTGTCCACCCACTTTGAGGCTCAGTCTTCTTGCTAGCACATCCTCTAGTATCTGGCTCTAATATCATTTGTAACGGCTTAAGCCCACGTTAGTAAATATTGTCCTCTTTGGACTTTCCCTTTCGAGCTTCTCCTCAAAGTTTTTAAAACATGTCGGCTAATAAAAGGTTTTCACACCCTTATAAAAAATATTTCATTCTCCTTCCCAAGAGATGTGGGATCTCATATTATATGTGACAAAATGTCACCTCGGATATTTCTATTTTTTTTCTAGTTCTGTTCATTTTGTTTTGTTTTGTTTATTAAGAAAAAAAAAAAACTTGCAAATAATAACGAACCAAGAATTCGTAAAAGATTATGGATACTATATTGTGCATATAGTATCTATAATTTGCATGTTTCCAAATCAAAAGATACAGTCAGGAAAGGGTATGGAAGACTTCTTTTCTTTCCTAACATACTATACCCTAAGAAATCAGTCTAAATCAGTCTAAGCATAACTCAAATCATCAAGCCATCAATCACTTTAATGGAAAGAAAAAGGAGGTCAATCACTATGCAATAGAAAGCCATCTCTTTCAGACACAACTACGACCATTACGTGCAAACAATATCGGCATGCTTTTGGCTTGGTAGGCAAGAAGTTTGCTAAAATGAGATGATTATATAAAATGATTATCTAAAAGAGAGCCAGTAGTAGTTTAGTTTTTAACTTACTTGAATCTGCAGATTTGATTCAGCTCAACCCTCGAAAGCTTTATTATGTTCATTTCAATATCAACTGCACTTGAAAATATATGAGGCCATCCATTAGGAGTCTGGTCAACAAATCAAGATGACAAAAGCGAGATCCAAATTTTACCGATGGTATAGCATCCAATCAGGAACAGAGTTTTTGAGTTGAAAGCTTCAACCTCAATGGCATCAACAAACAAAATTGTAACGTCCTCCTGATTCGTGAAATTATACTGCAACAAGTAATCGATGAAAGATAATTAAATGATCTTCAGAAATCCTAAAAAATGAAAAGAGAGCGATATAATTGTACGCGCATGGTGACATTTGAAAACATCGGCAGAAGTACAAAGAACATTACAGCTGTAGATGGATACATCTAACAAAATTTGATTCAATATGAACTTAAAATGGAAATTTAATTGAGCAGTTACATCAACAACTTACATTTGAAGAAGTATTGGTCATTCTCCATTTACTCAAAGGATTGAGTCATTGCCAGTGGCGATTGGAGCCGAACGCTTCGGGCTCTTGAGTGCGCGAGTGTGGAGCGATAAGTCGGAGATTGCGAGGTCGAAGAAGACTGTTTGGGTGGAAGGAAGAAGATCGTCGTCCTCATCATCGGCGGCGGCGTTGTTGTGGCAGCGGTTCTGATCCCGGGGGGGGGCATGAGAGCGGAGGAACAATCTGGGAAGATGAAATGGAATTGATGACTAAGGAAGCTGGAAGATCCAGAGAGGGTTTCTGAAATTTTGGCGCAAATGAAACGGAGGGAAATTTGGATTTAGAGCCAATTTAAAGACATTTCTTGGACGCTTAAAAATAAAGGTTAACCGGGAAGACCGGTCGGACGCGCCTATCATTTTGCTCTCAGATTGGATGAATTATTTAACAAAACTGTCACAATTTAACTTTAAAATAACTTTCTCAACAAAAACTAAATTCTTTCATTATTTTATACATAAAATCTTACCAAATATTATTTAACCAAACCCTTACTTATCCTCATCCTCCATTTTAAAACTTGTCTACTAGATAGAGATTTTCACACCTATGTTTCGTTTCCCTTCTAATCGATGTAGTATCTCGCAATCCACCCCTTTCAGTGCCTAGCGTCCGATGTCTAACTCTGATATCATTTGTAATAGCTCAAGCCTACCTATAGTTATATTGTTCGCTTTAACATGTTACATATTTCGTCAGTCTCACGATCTTTAAATGCATTTACTAGGAAGAGGTTTACACGTTGTTATAAGAAATATTTTGTTCCCATTTCCGACTGATGATGTGGGATCTCACGATCTTCCTCTGAGTGAGCTTTGATATGCACTTTATGGCAATCACCACAAACCCTTGGGGTTTTTTATCACATTATGGTAGCAAAAGATTCTCTCTAAGTCAACTATGGCAATAGCAGAACAAAAAAGAAAGAACCGTTAAGATGAAGAAGTCGACACGGCAGCGGAGACAGAGAAGAGAATCGACAAGGTACTTTAAGATTGGCTTATAGTATCATTTCCAAATGCATCGTATTCAATTCAATTCACATTTGCTTGATGTTCATTCTTCCATTGTAGCTCAAACTCCAAACCCTGATATTGATTTCCACTTGGGTTGGCATTTCCAGTTCTTAATGCATAAAACTAATAATACTAGAGAGGATAAACTGACTCATCGATTCGAAATTCATGGTTGAAGAACCGATTCCAAACAATTCAAAGCGGGATTCGATGATCTATATTCTCATATAATTCGATTCTAACAGTTGCATCCATGAAGAAATACGAGTAAAAGAATCGACGTAAAGAACCGAGAAAAATTTAAAATACAATGAAAAACCTAATAAAACAAAGTTGCAAAGAGATTGACGATTCAGGGCTAAAAAATGTTAGATCCCTGTCATCCGGTTAAACTTTAATACAATCCTACTTGTTTTCGCCTTCATTTTCCTTCCCTAATTCTCTCTTTTTCATTTTTCTTTTACTTTTTTCACTTTTTTTTTTTTTTTTTTTTTTTTTTTGGC